CCTGTATATAACACGTAAAGAGTGCTCTTCACAAAATATTACAGCAGAAAATAGTAAAGCCACACAAAAAGTGTCTTTTGCAGGAACTCCATTGAACAATACTTGTAAAAACCAAAACGTTGAACTTTAAATATTTTATCCATAAAGAGACTTCTGTGTCATGTAACTTGTGATTCAATTTAAAATCAGAAAAAATGGTTTCCTCAATTTTTCATATTAAGTGTAGCTATGGGAACAGCATTAAGCAATACCCAAAAAATCCCCTGTCACCTTCAAACACAATCCCTATTCTGGCATGCTACAAACATTACAAACTTACATTTAGGATAAGATCCAAACAGTTACAGCTTTCAGGTCATCATAACATAACAAATACATCACTGACACCAAGTAGTCATCATTTCATCATGCAGAGGACAGCAGTTTTGACAACTCTAATGTTACACTTGTACTTATTGAGTTTATCATGGTTACTTTAGACAAGTGTAGAAGATAAACCAACTGCCAGAAATTAATACTATATCTCAAGAAGTCAGACCATACAGAAGTTTCTTTCACACTTAGAGAAATGTGTGTAGGGGACAGTAAGGGGGAGCTTTCCCAAGAGTCCACAATAAAAAGGGATTCAGCAGAAAAAGGCCAAATAGTGGTGGTCAATGCCAGTACCAAATAGTGCACAAAAGAATCAGTCAGATTACCCATGGCCAACAGGATTGCAGAGACATCAATAATTGCACAATTTCTCATGTACAGTAGATCCTTTACAAATACGGATGGATTTTGTTTTAATTAAAAAGAATCTGATTTGAGTACCACAGTGCAGACCTAGCATGAAAGCATTAGCACTTAGCAATACATTTCTGAACTTAAAGCCTGGGGCTGAAGCTGAAGCTGAGCCACTGCCTGCCCTGAGCTGGTACTCAAACCTAAAATTAAACTTCACTCTTCCCCTATGTTGTTTGGGGGAGAAACAAAAACAAAACACAAAACTCATCTTGGATTCAAATAAATACAATAAGTAATCTCTACTTTCCTTGATTGCAGACTAATTTTTGCCTCTGATTGGAAGTACTACTACAGCATTATCTAGTTATGATAATTTATTGGATTTATGTTCCTAGCTATTGACTCAGTGCTGCTATTATTGGAGGTGACCACAAATGGGATCAGGCCCCTATATCAGTCTTAATTAAGACAGACAGCCACAATGAAACATATGGACACTAGATCAGGCAGTCTTTATCTGATTTTTTCAACCCCATTGTTGGATCCTGCACTCTAAATCGTACAAACACTCCCATGTGGTTAGTCACATACATATAGTTGCATATGTGCTTGAGCACCTTCTTGGATGACAGCCAAACAATCAACACCTTGCAGCCTGTGGCCCATAATTCAGACTTCTCACTTCCAGAATCTCTCTGAGACCCAACCAATATCTCTGCCATCTTTTCCCACAAACTACTCCCACTTCCTACACCCCTCCCAACCATCTCCCTGACTACTCCCTTTGCATCCTTCCATGCCTAGATTTATTCTTGTTTTGTAGTACTCTGTAGGCTCAGAGGAGACTGTTTAATGCATGCTAGACAAATTTCTCCCTCTCAAGGGATGGGGGGGAAAAAGTCTACCGGCTCTCTAAAGCCCAGATATATCACTAGAAGCACTATAAAACTGTTTCGAGAGAAAAACCCTACGGTCCTAAAGACATATACAAGTTATAATAATGCTTATATTCTATACATTACAAAATTCAGTATGCAATCAGGGAGCTACATGCTATAAAAATTAACTCATTTCTAAGTAGCAACATTTCTGCATTATTTGATAAGAAGTCATTCATTTCAACCACTGCTCCTGGTTTACAAGATTAGATGTACAAACATACAAGTAGCGTCAAATATGTTACACATACTTTGCACTTTTTAACCTGTAGTATCTTAATTCATGAGACTTTACAAAGATCCCTATGGAAGAACTCACAATGGTCTATCTTGTGACAGCATCAATGAATAATTTCATTAAAACCAAATGAATTTTAAAGGAAAGCATCTGGGATTGCTTCAAAGTTACTTTGTACAAATAAACACTTTTTACAATGCAACTTTACAGGTTATTTAAACTTTTATGAATAGCATTATTGTACTAAGTATTGTTTAAACTTAATTGCAAGGTGTCAGAACTAAATACCAGTTGGATATTAACTTTGGACACAATGACCAAGATTTACCCTCGCCACCTAGAAAGCATTTGTATGCATGAATGTACAAAAGCCAAAGAGGTCTTAAGTATCAGCAAGACTTTTGTAAGACATCAAAAACAACTTTTCTGTTTTGTTACCCTATAATTTTAAAGCAGCCTGTCCAACTCCCTTCAAATCAGCAGTCTACCTATACATGGAAAGCATTCAGATTTCATCAGGAAGAAAAGGGAAGTGCATAGCACACACTGTTCTAGTGTATCGGGAACAACACACCAGACTGTTCAAGTTATTAGAAGAAAAGAAAGGGGGCGATCAGCATATCAGAGCTAAGTATATTTCAACTCCAGACCAAAAGAAAAAAACCTAGGAAAAGTAAAATGCATTTTCTTGGTGGTACAGAATTCCAGAACTGAGACCTGGAGACATGATAGTCTAAACTAGGGCTATCCACCTTCTGAAAAGCTGGGAACCACATCCTACATGGGTCATGGGCCCCTGGCCACCACCTGGCCACACATTGCTCAAGCTCCCTAGGATCCCTACCATGAACCCCAGATACATTGTACCAGCAGTATGAAATCCCTCTGCCCTTTACCACTGTGTGAGCAGCAGGCTGCCTCCGGCTGTGCCCCTGCTTCAGAAACCCCTAGCCACAGCAACTGCAGGAGCAATGCAGCAAGTGGCAGTCAGGCAAAAATTGGCAGGGTGCACATTAACAGCCTTAGCTTAACCCAATTCTTTTCCCTTGTACCAATCCAAAAAACACATTTACCATGCCTAATCTATGTGGTACATTAATCAATGCTAAGTCTATTATACAGACTTAATATTATAATATATAGTCTTCATGTTCTCCCTTTCCCTACAATACTCTTGGCATATAGCTGCCCACATACATACCGTGGCTGCACTCTGGCTGTTGCATATGCTAGAAACCATTACAAATAGTATGTCTGTTTTCCAATATTTAAAGTATATGTGGTTAAGTACATAGTGATGCATAGCAAGTAAGAGTTCCAAAACAAGAATGTCTATGCCACGTGTCTTGACAACCTCTAATTTTGCACCCTGTTTGTCATGAGAACAGCCAGCCATATTTTACTATAGACAATTCCTTGCAGATGTAAAAGTACAACCACTAAATTATAACCTGGATTAAGGTCTGATTTAAAAAAATCTCAACCCTGTAAGAGCCTGAACACACAGGAGGATATATTAAAGACCAAGATGACATTCCTGAAGAATTTAGGGAACATTTGAATACAATTCTTGAGTCTAAGAAATGCAATTATTTTTGAAGAGTAGCTCCAAAGAAAGCAGTCTAATACGACAAGCCCGAACCTGTATTTATCTCCTCACACCTCCCAACACCCTTCAAAGGATGTAGCAAGGGGTACTCTAGTTGCGAATCACTTAGGAAGCAGAGCTGAGTTCAAAAAATAAAAAACAAAAGTTTCCCACTTTCTGATTTGGATATATATTACAATAAAGTTAATTTGTATGCAAGCATACCCACAACACTCCATTTTGGATTACAGATCCTGCCCTCCCCCCACACCCCAGCACTGCCCACCAACGCACATGCACAATAAATCTCTGCAAGGCCACAACTTTACCCTGATCTCACCAGTATAACAGTGAGGTGAGTAACATGAGCCACATCTAAATGAACTATCAAAATTTGAACTGCAATTCAAATTACCTAAGAATATTTTAAATGATGTATAAATACAAATAGAACTCAATACCCTTTCCCAGAACTGATACTTCTCTAACAGGTGTAAGAATAAATTATTCTTGTCACTAACCTAAAAAAACATGTTGGGGGCTGGTAATCTTTTATAGCAGAACTGCAATTTAAAAACTGCTTTATGTAGAAGGAGCAAATAGCTCAGAGGACTAAGATGACTTCACCCATTAGCTAGAAAACTTCTAATGCTGCGAAGCCTGTACAAATGTAATTCATGCCAAATACAAAGTCTTCAGACATTCTAGTGAAGTTTGAAACTCAGCCCAGGTTGAAAGAAAAATATTCACTGAGAATGCTATTTGAGGGCAGCTGACTCTAGCCAGACACTTCATTGCTATTGACAAGTTTTGACAGACAAAGATTGCATTTGTTGCGACTAGCTCCTCAAATCATTTGAATAGCAGTTAAGAGCACCTATACTGTACAATACCCGTGAGAAACTGGCAAGTTCATTCAAGCATGCTAATGGCACACTGTTTACAGCTACTGTAATTAAATTGCCCTTTTTATTGTGAAAAGGAACAGATACTTGAAAGGCTTAAGATTTGCCCACATAGCAGCATGGGCTGCTTTTTGTTTAAAAATCCATGAAATCTGCAGCTTGACTGGCATGCAGCTACATCTCTGTCCCTAACCTTTAACAGAAAATTGCATTATACTGCCTATAAACTAACAACCTTCTTTCTGTTTCTCTGACATCTATGGAAACACAGATTGCAAGAAAATGTTTCTCAAGAAAAGAAAGAAAAACTTCAAAGAATAAATGTATGGTCTCCAAGGCAACTCTACTTGAGGATTCAACTATTATACAAAGTTAACTTGGCTTATTTTTTAAAAGTATTTTGCCTCTTTTCCCCCCCAAGAAATAAGTGAACACCCACAGAACAAGTGACCAGTGACCCTTGGCATCCAGAACCCAAAGAACCTTGTCAGTCAGTGAACCTAATTCCATTTAGTCAGCAAATCACATTACAGTGATACTCATCTTGCCAGGTTTCAGGTACCAGTGGACATCTGTATAAAGGCTTTAAGAGCAAACCTACTCACCCTAGAGATAGTCAGAGGCATATTGAAGTCTTTGCCACCTTGAAGCCTGAAACCCCAGGGAGCTGGGCCAACCAAAGACACGCTGTAGTTACTCATGATGGTTGATGATTATCCTGAATTGGACCTTGATCAACGTCTCTGGAAAATAATTTGATTTGCTTAAAAACATTTTAAATAAATTACAAACACCTTAAATCAAAAAGGCATGGTCAATTATATTCTACATACAGTTTTCTTTATCTGTGCTACAAGACTTTACATAATGAGAAATCACAAGATTTTTCAGTCTAACATCATTATTTGTACACTGGGGGTTGGTGGCTATCAGTTTAAAAAACATGAAAAAATGGAAACAGACATCTTTTTTTTTGCTATTAGATTTATATTCTGAATCCTGGTATTGCAATGCTTGGTTTTCAAACACTGCATGGGGACAATTAACAGTTATTTTCTTTGGAATTAAATAAGAATATTTCTGTACTTTTTAAGGTTTTTGAAATTGGTTCTTATAACATTTAAATGTTGAAACAATTCAAATTGGCAATGTTCTATAAAAAATGTTTTAAAAGACTAAGGTATCACAGAGTGGCTTGTTCCTTTCTCACTAAATGCATGCAACATGCTCCTATACATTTAGTTTCAGGTACGAATCATCATTACTTCAAAACTCATTTCCAAAAGTATGCATATTTTGGAAACAATTCTGAAACAAAGCCAAAACAAGGTTTAAGTGTAAAGTTATTTGGAGAAAAACAAGTTCTCGCTCCCACCCACCTTGTAATGTTTACCTACAATTACACTCCTACTTTCAATTTCATATTAAGACATACATAGGTATTAGAAGGTGAAGAAAAATTCTGCTAGTGGATAAAGTTTTATATCAAATCCAAACACAAAGGTAATGTTTAAGAAAAAATACTCCCTTTAACCTTCCTCTCCATACCCAGGTGGTGGATTACCTTTAAAAGGCGAACCTGCACTTAATTTTTATTCAGCATCAAAGGTAACAGCTTCACATTTCATCTCAGATACGAAACATTACAATGACATCTTAGGTAGTAGCTGCCTTCTATTTTTATATATTGGAGAGAGATAGAGCACACTAGAGGGTGGATTACTGTAAAACTACACCAAAGCATGGGAAGATGCCATAGTTAATATAACAGATTTAAGGTGGAACTTCAGTTAAGTAAAAGACTGTGTTTCAAATATTACCAAGCCTTGAAAGGGTTGTTTTTCATCACACTTTCACCACCACTGGTGTTTTTATTTTGGTGGAAATAGATTTATAGGTTCTCTACTTATCAAGCAATTGCATTCTTATGAAAACAACATAGTAATATCTGGGAAGTAAAAAAACTCTCAGAAGTCTTAACAATGCATTAGAGTCACCTGTTAAGAGTCCTAGGCTTCATTAAATGAATTTCCCAACACACCACACTGAAAGAATGGTTGTTCAGCATTATTCCTTCATTGAGGGCTTGTCTATACAACATAGCCTGACGCCGTAACACTGTAGCAGCACCTTAGCATAGCTATCAGAAAAGCCCTCTAGCAAAGATGGCACTTATGCCAGCAGAAGGAGAGTCTCTGTTGGCATAGTTACACCACCTGCTGCAACAACATAAGCCAAGGCTATTTACTACTGACAGCTACACCCATGTTAGGTGTTTAGTTGGCAAAGCTATGTCACCTGGACGTTGTGATCTTTACATATTCCATAGCCAACATAGCCACACCAGTAAAACTTTGTAAAGGAAACCAAGCACAAGGGTCAAAACATCCACTTTTTTCATACCAGTAGTACATTTAAAATGAGACTACCATGGTAAATGAGACTGGCAAAATAATATTTTTTAATTAGGACACAGCTGTTCAACATCTAAGTAGTCAGGGACCACACCAGTGGGGGCCACAGGCCTCGGCTGCATACCCCCGCCTGGTCACACCACCACATGCTTGCTCTCCCCCCTGTTGCAATCACCCCACATGGGTGCCCCCCCTCCACCACTGCAGTGTGTACCCATGTAGGTGACCCCCACCAGTGCACCACACACCCACACCCTGAGCATCCCACACCAAGCCCTACCACATTGCACTGCTCCCTGGGGCAGACAGAATGCACAAGCCAGAGGGCAGAGGTAGACAGCAGCCGGATACTCTGGCTGCTATATAACCAGTGACAAGAGCAGTGGATGCCAGGCAGGGGCCTGGGAGCCACAACTTAACTCTCTCAGGGCTCACGCACTCCATGGGCCAACAGCCCTAAATTAGAATTTTAAGCTAACAATACTTAGCTGATACTTATTATTACTTATACTTGCTTCAGTACCAAGGCAGGCCCTGAATTGCTGGCACCTATACACCAGAAGCCACAAAAAGGGCTGATCTTGAACTCTACGAAGACAGAACTTGGCTTAGTTACTCCTCCTCCCTCTTCAAAGTCTGATCGAGCATAAATCCAGAAGTACAAGTTGTGCCTAGTTCTAAAGTTTCTTTCTTCACCCTCTCATACATACAGCAGGGAAAGCATCTACAAAAGTGAAGATATGATCCTTATGGGGCTTGCTTATTACTAAAAGTGAGAACCAGCAACTAACTGAATCGCCCTCTCCAGTAACCAAGTCCCATATAAATACAGGATTTTAACCTATCAGGGATTTCACCCCCATAAGAAAGAGAAGCCTTTCTGTTCCCTCTAAATTAAGCTCACTGAAATTATAGGCTATCAGAAACTTAATGACAGTGGAAAAAGTGAACCTCATCTCATGCTTCAGGACACATGCTAAACACCAATATGCAAGCTTGAGAGAAACTTTTGCTCCTCCTAAAACAAAATTTAAATGAGTGTTGGTTCCTCCTTCTACCCCTTCCCTCTCATGTGGGGAAAAAAAGGCAGTTAAAATAAATAAAAAAATCCAGGAAAAGATACAGTTACGACACAAGTACAGTAACTGCAAATAAGGGAAAGTCATTTGGTATGCTAAAATAGTGAACCACACACGGCTCCTCACCCACCCCCCGCTTCAATTCTGCAGTAAAATGTCTGCGTCTCATAACCTAGAGCCTTTTTTAAAGATGGAAGGAGACCAAAGAAGGTCCCTATAAAAAACAGATTTGCTGAGTTGCTTAGGCCATCTAGAATACCTTAAAGAATTTCCCATGAATGAAGAAGAGGTACAACCCAGTGTCTCAGTACTGTCTCAAGTAGGAGTGCAGTGCAATGAAATGGCTCAGGGCTAAATTATGAAACCTTAATTCATGCTGGGAAGTACTCAGTAGCCTTAACTGCGGAAACGCTCTCCACTTTCAGCAAGGGTTTCACAACCTAGTCCTAAACGCGATTTGCACAAGTCAGCTGCCAGTTGGATGGAACCAGCACAGCTCAACTGCATATCATAGGCCTGCCCTGCTAATAAGACAACCAAAGGTTTACTCCAACTCAAGGAACTGGTGCCTGTGCTCCACGGGAACAGCCTCTTTCCTGCCACTACAAACGTGCCAGTGCTCATGTGCTAAATAGCTGGTTCACTGTATTTCAGCAAGACAAATGACTTTCCTCCCTTTACAGTGGCTGTACTTGGTTGTAACTGTCACCCTGAAAGAATCACAGAATCAGAAAGTTAGGTTGGAAAGGACCTCAGGAGATCATCTCATCCAACCCCCTGCTCAAAGCAGGACCATCCCCAAGTATATCACCCCAGCCAAAGCTTTGTCTTGCTGGGTCTTCAAAACCTCCAAGGTTGGAGATGCCACCACCTCTCTGGGTGACCTGTTCCAGTGCTTCACCACCCTCCTAGCGAGAAAGTTTTTCCTAATATCCAACCTGAGCTACGCAGGAAAGACTTCCCCTTTATGGACCCACTAAATCAGAGATGTGTAGCATCTGCCTTCAGGAGCTGTGGGCTCTATGGGGTATTTACTCTAGATGTGACACCTCTGCAAGTGCATGAGGAGTCAGCGGTTTGGCTTCCACACCCCGGCCTGGCAGGCGCCAAAGCTGCGGGAACACAAAGCCATAGGGCATCAACCCCATCCTGCAGCCGGAGCTAGTTGAAGCTTCCCTGCTCCTGCAGCCACCTGCTCACCTCTAAGCCTGACAAGGAGGGAGGCACACAACCGGGAGCCCTCCTCGGCCCAGCCCAGCAGCCCCCCAGGCCTGCCATACCCACCCTGTGGCACATGCCAGGGCTCGAATTACAAGGGAGAGAAGCTGAGCCCTGCCATAAGAGATAAGAGCCCTCCTGTAAGATTTGAAAGTCGTAACCTGGGGGGGGGTCTCCGATTTTATTAGGCCATCGCGATGGGCAGCTCAGTCTTTTTTTGCAGACCCCCAACAGTCCAAGTATAATCTGAGCCCTGCATGCGGCGATCCCCTAAAGGGGGGGAGGGGGGTGCCACCCCGCTCTTGCGCTGCGAAGATGAAGTGCGCGGGTGATTTCTCTTCCAATCCTCCCCCCCAAAAAAATGCAGGCTCGGGCGCTGCACAGGGCAGCCGCCTCCCGGCTCGCCCACCTCACCCTCCGCCTCGCGGGACTCACCAGGGAGGCGCGGAGCCAGGTGCGGGCGGCGGCGGCGGCGGCGGCGGGTCTGTGCCGGCTCCCGCGCGCACTTCCTCCCAGCTCCGCGCGCTCCTCCCCCGCCGGGCGGGCGGAGGCGGGGTGCCGCCCTCAGAGGAGGCTGGAGTTGGGCCCCGGATGCGCCTCTGTGCCTACTGCGGCTCGCTGAGAACCAGCCGCCGGGAACAAGGAACCAACTTCAGCCTCATCCCCTCCGGGCTTTCACCACCACACTCCGCAGCCTTGAAAATAAGTATATTGCACAGAAATATTTTTTTTTCTTGTTGCAAAAATCTAGCTGGTCTAGACAAAAGCTATCACCTCCACCACGAGCTCTGAGTGAAGACATACAAACTTCCCGCCCTGCTGTGGGCTTCCTGAAGGCGCTGCAAGAGAAGCATGGCTCTCTTCTTTTCCCACAGGCCAAAAACCAAAGGGAAAGGAAGAGCGGGGTCTGTAGCACCAGGGCTGGGGCCCTGGCACCTGGGCATTTTCTGAGGGTTGCTGCCAGCCTAACCAGGGGTGCCTTAAGTTTGAGTGCTACCCCAGGGGACCCGTGGCTACCAAACTGTCCTGGGAACTTGCCCTCCATCCTGCCAAACAAAACAAAGACTAAAATAAATGAAATAGCCCCAACTGGTTAAAACTGCACTGATTCCTTTCAGGGTGTGACCATCCACAAGCATATCTCTATTTAAAATACACTAATAACCACACCAGCAGGAGAAAAAAAAATCAACAGGCAGCTCATAAGAGAAATACACCACAATGGGGATAGAGGGACAGTAACATTTTGGGGCACAATCCAAGTATTTTGTGCCAGGGTTTTGCCCTGTAATGGTGTAAGCTATGGGGACACTGTTCTGCCTGGGGAAGATTTTGAGCTGCCAAGGTTCCCCAATGCTGGCTCCAGCTCTGTGCTTCCCTTTCCCAGTCAGACTGCAGGCATATGACCCCACAGGGCCAACAGTACCACTCATAGATTCGTAGATTCATAGATTAAGGGTCGGAAGGGATCTAGTAGATCTTCTAGCCCGACCCCCCGCCAGGGCGGGAGAACAACAAAAAACCCCAAAAAGAGAAACGGGACTCAAATGAGTCCAGCCAGGTAGGCATCCAGCCTCTTCTTAAAGACCCCCAGGGTAGGGGCCAGCACCACTTCCCTTGGAAGTTGGTTCCAGCTCCTAGCCACCCTAACTGTGAAGTAGTTTTTGCGGATGTCCAATCTATACCTCCTCTCCATCAGCTTGTGCCCATTACTCCTTGTTATGCCAGCAGGCGCTAGGGGAAACAGCGTCTCCCCCAAACCCTTCTGCTCCCCCCTAGTGAGTCTATAGACAGTCACCAGGTCCCCCCTTAGCCTTCTCTTGTGGAGGCTGAATAGGTTCAGGTCCCACAGTCTCTCACTCCAGGTGAGCACACCTTATATAGCAATAGAGACCCTGCTAACACCTACTTCAGCACTTTTTGTCTTGGAAGCACTGTGTATACATCACTTACTTGATACAATTCTCCTCTCAGACAGTATTCTCCTCCCTACTTTGCAGCCAGAGACTAGCTCAAAGAAGTGACTCATTCCAGGGTACAAAAGAAGTTATTGTCAAAGCCGTGCCTAGAACTGGGAAGTTACTTGCTGTCAGGCCAATGTTCAGAGCACTGTACCACACCTCTCATGTATGTGTGTGTATGGACAGAATTTACTATATGAATTGTTAAGAACTCTGCATTTGATTCTGATCACTGAGAAGTGAGTTTAAGAAAGATGTTCTCAAACTAGAACAGGTATAGAGAACAACTGCTAGGAATAACTAGCACATAACTAAATAGAATATAAGAGCATTGCTTGGACATGCAAAGATGAAATCAGGAAGGCCGAAGTGCAACTGGAGTTGCAGCTAGCAAGGGATATAAAGGGTAACAAGAAGGGTTTCTACAAGTATATCAGTAGCAAGAGGAGGATCAGGGGAAGGATCAATGAATGGGGGAGGCAACACTGTGACAGAGGATGAAGAAAAGACTGAAGTGCTCAATGCGTCTTTCACCTTAGTCTTCACAGGCAAGGTTAGCTCCCAGACTACTGCACCAGGCATCACAGTTTGAGGAGGAGGCAAGCAGCCAACAGTGGCAAAAGAACAGGTTAGGGACTATTTAGAAAAGCTGGATGTATGAGTCCATGAGGCCGGATGGGTTGCACCTGAGTGTGCTGAGGCAGTTGGCTGATGAGATTGCAAAGCCCCTGCCCATCATATTTGAAAATTCATGGTGATCAGGAGAGGTCCTGGAGGACTGGAAAAGGTCAAACCATATTTAAAAAAGGCATAAAGGAGGATCAAGGGAACTACAGACTGGTCAGCCTCACCTCAATCCCTGGAAAAATCATGGAGCAGATCCTCAAGGAATCCATTGCTAAGCAATTGGAGAAGAAGGTGATAAGGAACAGCCAGCATGGATTCACCAAGGGCAAGTCATGCCTGACCAACCTGATTGCCTTCTATGACAAGGTGACTGGCTCTGCAGACATGGGGAGAGCACTGGCTGTGGTGTACCTTGATTTTACTAAGGCTTTTGACATGGTTTCCCACAACATGCTCACGGGCAAGCTAAGGAAGTATGGGATGGATGAATGGACTGGAAGGTGGATAGAAAACTGGCTGGAGCATCAGGCTCAGAGGGTAATAATCAATGGCTCAATGTTTAGTTGGCAGCCAGTGTCAAGTGGAGTGCCCCAGGGGTCAGTCCTGGAGCTGGTTTTGTTCAATGTCTTTATCAATGACCTGGAAGATGGCACAGAGTGCATCCTCAGCAAGTCTGCAGATGAAAACTAAGCTGCGGGGAGTAGTAGATACACTGGAGGGTAGGGCTAGGATTCAGAGTGGCCTAGACAAATTGGAGGATTGGGCCAAAATAAATCTCATGAGGTTCAACAAGGACAAATGCAAAGCTCTGCACTTAGGACAGAACAATCCTGTGCACCAGTACAGGCTGACTGGATGGGCAGCAGCTCTGCAGAAAAGGACCTGGGGGTTACAGTGGACAATATGCTGAATATGAGCCAGCAGTGTGCCCTTGTTGCCAAGAAGGCTAGTGGCATACTGGGGTACATTGATAGCTGTGTTGCCAGCAGGTCAAGAAAGTGATCATTTCCCTATATTCAGCACTAATGAGGCCACATCTGGAGTCCCATGTCCAGTTTTGGGCCCACCACTACAGAAAGGATGTGGACAAGTTAAAGAAAGTCCAGTGGAGGGCAACAAAAATGGTTAGGGAGCTGGGGGGGACATGACTTTATGAGAAGAGGCTGAGGAAATTGGGCTTATTTAATCTAGAGAAGGGAAGACTGAGAGGGGATTTAATAACAGTCTTCAACTACCTGAAGCGGGATTTAAAAGAGGATGGAGCTAGGCTGTTTTCAGTCATGGCAGATGACAGAACAAGGAGCAATGGTCTCAAGTTGCAGCAAGGGAAGTTTAGGTTAGATAATAAGAAGAATCTTCTCACTAGGAGGGTAGTAAAACACTGGAACAGGTTACCCAGAGAGATGGTGTAATCTCCATCCTTGGAGGCTATTAATGTAGCTAGACAAAGCTTTGGCTGGGATGGTCTAGTTGGGGCTGGTCCTTCTTTGAGCAGGGGGTTGGACTAGATGACCTCCTGAGGTCCCTTCCAACCCTAATTTTCTATGATTCTATGAATGGTCTACACTTTAGAAGTTTCATCTTGCAAGAGAAGTCCATAAAGCTTGGTTTGTTTAATCTACTAAAGAGACAGAGACATCTGATGGGGGATAAAATCTCCAGCTTCAAATACTTCACAGAGATAATGTCAGTGGGTTACCTATAACAACAGGGAACTGGACTCAGTGACCTAGGGGGTGCTTACAGTCCTGTGTTCCCATGTAGTCAATGAAGGCATTATAACCACAGTCCTGTCACTGTGGAAAGAAAAGGAACTGTAAGTAGGGTATTTACTTTCCCCGAGGGCTTTCAGTATTACAATTACTACCACTTTTGATTTGAAACATGAGAAATCTGCTGATTTAGAATGTACAGTGCGTGGCCCAGACATTTACCTGGTCTTTTTAGGGAAGGAGATGGAAGGGTAAGGTTTGTGTTTGATTTTCTCTCTCTAGTTATTTCCTAACTTGGGGAAAAAGAAGAGGTGTTGGCTTGCTACAGTGGTTGGTCTTGTGAGATGGTTTTTTTTGCTGAAGACTGGAAGCAGATATCATTTGCATTTATGAAACATTTTTAAAATCACAGTGCAAATGATTTCAAGCAGAAAGCTTCTGTGATCAAATGATCCCATTGAATAATACACCATGGTCTCATCTACACAAGTAATTAATGGAAAACCATGAACTCCAGAGTTTATTGCTCTAGAGTTTATTGTTCCTGGGCATGCCATTTGAATGTGTGCCTGGGAGTAATAAACTCCAGAGTTTTTTGCCATTTGAACATGTGCTTGGGATTGCAGCACATTGAGCTGAGTCAGAGCAGCTCTGGCTGGCACAGGACCTGGAGGGTAAAACTGCCAGCCCTAGGGCTGGTCCCCTGGCTCAATGTGCAGCAGAGGAGCTTGCTGGGACATGAGAATGCTTCAGTGCAGAGTTAGCTGGCAGGCCAATAGGCAGCCAGTCAGGGCAGTGTCTACACATGTGTTGCTGTGCAGGTTTTTTTACATGGCAGCAGGATAGTACTTATGGATACTATTACTATACTAAAAATCAGTTTACTCCAGCCGAATAGGGGCACACATGTAGATGCTGTGACATTTAATGTGCAGCTAATTAGTCTACTGGGCATAAATCATCTGCCTCCCGCCCAGCACTTTTTCCTGCCATGGGCAGGGTGTCAGACTCAATGACCCATTGAGGTCGCTTCCGACCCTAGCACCTATGAAATGTCTTGTGTAGACGTGCCCTGTTAGAACTAATTTGTACCCTCCATCCTGCAAAAGGACCTGCATTCAAATAGAGCAAGCCAACCCACATGGAACAGCTCATAGAATCAAAACCTTGACCACTTGTAACTAGAGGTGCACTGATACATCGGCCCCATATCGGATCGGCACTGATATAAGGAAAATTG